AAGGAAAGCTCTGTGAACAGAGAATACCTCAAAACAAAAGTGCTGCTCTGGCACATGCGCTGTGTTTGGTAAAACCTTGAACTCAGACATTTGTGACTCGTTGAAGTTCTGTGGATGGGAATCCTGGGGGAGCCACCTCCTCTCCACCTCTGCAGGGTTTGCACGATGGCCACGGGATTTTCCTCCAGGGAAATTGGGAGWGGTTTTCTTGGGGCATGCAGTACCACACAGGTAAATAGAGTAAAAGTATTTTCCTTTTACTGTAGGGAGGCTGCAGAGGACAGGGGCACCTGGTGCTGCCTCCAGACTCCCCAGAGGCTGCGGCAGCCACTGGCTCTTGGCACAGAAAAGGCACTGCGGTGCTCCTGTTGTTTTAGAGAAATAATGGCTACAGACTGTGCTGCTCAGCTGGCAGCAATGGGAAAGCAAAGCTTAGGTTTAAATAAAACCAGAGTTTGGCAAATCTGAGATGGAAGTGCAGATGTGACTAAATTCCCTATAATTCCTTGACTCTGGAAGGTAAAGGAGTTGTTTTGCCTTCAGCCTGCTGGAAAAGGGAAAAGGCACCCCTGAGCCAAATTCTTTCCCTGAAATATGATTATTGTTGCTCTCACCTGATGATCAGAGCATCTCCCATCCTTCACCACCACATGTGCAGGTACAGATGATGATCCTGGAATGGGCATGGGATTGATTTCACCTCACTGAGAKAGTGTGTGTTACCAGGGGTGGGAATGAGCCTGAGCCAGCCTGGATAGGGCTTYCCTCACCAGCCTGGTCTGGGTGCCCAGCAAGGTTTTTATTCTCAGTGCCCCCTGATAAGATAGGCCTCCTCTGGCTCACTCTTTTTTTTTTTACCTCCTCTGACATTTGGGGCTGGTCTATACTGGGGATTTAATTCAAATTATTTGAGGATGTGAATTTAGAGAGGAATAATTATTCTTGATTAACTCCCTGTGTGGACAGGCTTGYTCCAAAATGAAAGTGCTTTATTTCAAATGGGTTTAATTGACTCCAAGAAAACCACTAGGTTGTTTTCTCTAAGAAAAAGAGAAAGGGTAGATACAAAATGAAGAATACTTTTTCCCCCTCAATTTGTTGAAAAATGCAAGGACTTATGAACATTATGCAAGTTTTAACTGAAAATTGCTGTATGTTATTATGTATAATTTGCACCTCTGATAAACTGCACGCTGTTAAAATTATTGTTCCATGAAAATAATTACACAGCAGCCAACATAATTAGACAAGTAGCACAAAATCAGAGGCAGAAATGTAGGGCGAGACTGTGACTGGGAGAGCTGTTTACAGGGAGGTTGCTTTGAGGTGTGTTTTATTCTGTCCACACATTCACACAGGGCCTGATTTGCTGAAACCAAAACTGATTACAGAATATAACGAGCCTTACAATAACTTGATCAAAAAAAGCTTCTCAGCTTTAGGATGAATTTTCTGTCCAAAACAAAAAGCAAGACAAAAGACGGATCTCAGAATAATCAATACTATTCTGGAGAAAATCAGAGATTGAGGTGCCAAAAAATGTCCAGCTACACCAACAGTGGAGGCACTGATGGTGCCCGTGGTACCCAGAAGGGAGAGCTGGTGCCAGGCAGGGTTCTGGCTGCCAAGTGTCACACATGGGCTCAGGCACTGATCTTGTGTCATGCATATCATTGAAATTATCTCAAATATCACCATTTGAGAATATTTTATGGGGACAGCACAGGATGCAGTGAGCAGTTTAGGGTGAAGAATGCTTAGTATGAATCCTGACCCAGCTCAGGTCATACCTTTGTTCACAGGGCAGAGAACTGCTCCCTGCCTTGCTGGATACCAGGACAGACCTGCCCAAATCCCTCCTCTTTCTAAATATGTGCTCTGTCTAGGTGCAAACCAGCCCAGCACAAGAATGTCCTCCTGGAACTAAAAAGTTTGCCTTTATGAAATTATCATCAGGGCTTCTTCATGTGATTCTTCCAAAAAAAAACTGTTGTCATAAGCAAATCAGCATTTTCTGTACTAAAACAATAGAAAAAACCCTGCAACCTGCCTAAAGCATTCAAAATTCTAGTGTGAATCAGTAGAAGGGAAATCTTATTCTGGGGCTTCCCAGAGAGTAGGAGCTACCACTGGTAGCCCAGTGGAAAACACAAACCACAGGCTTTTCCTTTTTTCCACCAGTACCAATCTGCAGTGAAGCAGTGAGAGTCAGCAGCCCCTGGAGCCCAGCCCTGGTTTTGAGAGCACAGAGGAACATGCTGGGATCAGGACAATACAGAGATTTACAGGACAGCTCATGTGCAGAAACAGAGCCCAGAACTGGAGCTTCTGCCATCACACCATGAGAAGTGGGAATCTTAATGCAGCCAGAGAATGTTTGTTTCTTTGCTTTTCTGGGATAGCTTTCATTATTGGCTTTCACTACCTCTTCTTTGCACAGATGGAAGAGCAATGAATAGACAGAGGATGATTATGCCACTCTTTCAAAACCTATTGCACATGTTACACATTTAACAGCTCAGCTGAGAAAAGAAATGGTAATATTTCCATATTTACCAACCCTTTATGTTCAAGGTACATAATGAACCTCTACTCACCCATACCAAGCCAAACCTTTCCCTTCTTCCTGAAGACAAATATCCTAATAAAATACATTCTTTTAATTGTCCAGCCCATCGAGCAAAACAGATCATGGCCAAGTGTGTTTGACTGCCCCTCTCACCATCCTGGTCATTTTTGCCARGTCCAGAATGAACAGGAGCAACTGTTTCACTTCTTTAGCCCACACACCCCAGCTTGTACTGGGAGGGAAGGCAGTGGGTGCACARACCTTACTATGGGGTGGAAATTGGGTGTGCCAGATGCAAACAACTGAACTCAGGAGCTCAGGAAAAATCCTCAGTGCCACGCTTTAAGTATGGCCTTAGTAATTCCAGTGACTTTCAGTAGAGCTTGGGCTTTCTGGGTCCTGAGCCATTCCCAAAACAGGACTTCAGGATGCTTTTGTAATTTTAGTCAAGGTGAATTTATGCTGAAGTATAAAGTCTAAATCCACAGTTAATTACAATGAAGAATAAATGGTTCTGAAGAGATTACGGAYGAGCTTTTGAAGGAGGCCTCTGAATTTTAAGTAACCAATTCTCTTTGAAAGTCACTGGATTTGGGCATCTAACTCCCTCGCTCACTTTTGAAGATCCAAACCAGGTTTAAAGCTCATTCTGTTAACAAGCCAGCCAATATTTCTTTCCTGGGAAAGCTGCCTTCTGTTATCCTAAAATTAAGACAACAGAGGGCTACATTTTTTGTTTTATTCTCCAAGGCTAATAATGAAACAATATAGAAATTGTGAAAAATAAACTACAGCAATTTAGATATTTAGTTTTCAAATCAGTTGACAGGCATAGCAAGGAAATGGTTTTACCTCTGAAGAAATAAATGTAATAAAATACTGTTTAAATAATGTTTAAGTGATGTGATGAAAGACGGGTTCACGAACCCTCTGTTATGTTAACAATTAGCAGTGCAGGACATGGATTTTGTTTAAGAAATGTGTACTGCTAATGCTGGGGTCAACATATGAATAAACAAGAATGGCACTGTGCACTAGAGCCAGACTCTGTTAATATCTGCTTGGTTGTCTGTGCTGCTTCATTTATCGTGCTGAGATCTGCTGCAGTTGGGTACTGTGTGCCCGTGGACCCACAGGCAGATATGGGCAACCATCCATGCTCCTGGCCACATTGAGACATCATGGAAGTTGMRATTGGATGAGCTTTAAGATCCTTTCAAACCCAAATCATTCTGTGATTYGTGGGCTGGAGTGACTTTCTTGCTCAGAGTGAGGAAGAGCCGCATGTCAGYGCAGTACTGAGCTCTGACCCGTGCTGTCAGAGCTTGGGGCACTGACCTGGGACCACCCCGGGAGCTTGTTCAGCTACAAACCAACCCTGCAATGCCAGCCAAGCCACTGTGCTTYCCTCTCACTTTCTCTTGTTAATCTTACTTACCTTGAGCCTCTCTCTTGCTGTTGGCCACGGTGGTACCCTGAGCCTGGAGTTGTCACTGACAGGAAAGATAAACTCCTTGGAGCTGGACTTCAGAAGACWCAGATGTCTTGGACAGTTTCCAATCCTCTCACTTCCAGCTGCATTAGAAAGCTGCTGCCYTTTTCCAGACATGTCCTTGGACAGCTTGATCCTCTGTCCTCCCCAAAAATAACTTGAGAATAGACAGGATTGCTGAAGCCAGGTCTGGGAATCGTGAGAAGGCTCTGCCATTTACAGAGATGCAGCTTTCATCTTCTTACACCTTAAACACTCTCTCAAGCTTTTGAATTTACAGTTGGGGATGATGGAACAGCTTGTTATCTGAGTCAAAAACAATCCTCTGGAATATTTGCTGAATGACCTAACTCACCAAACATTTCCAGGGGGTTTGCTATTTACATGTATGGAGTATGATCTCCAATTTCCATGCCGCAAACCACATAGAGGAAGCCAAACTTTGCTCCTGGAAGCTGGCTTGGTCCAGCAAAGCGTTGATGCACCAGTTCCCACCACGGGCAATGGAAGTTGAAGGTGTCCAGCAGCCACAGGGAGCCCATGGAGGGCAATGGGTGCTGTTTGGACCTCAGTGCAATGCCTGATTAGGTGACAGTCTGCCTCTAGGCAGAGCAAATATTCTTTCTCTTTCATTCCTCCTTTTTCTTTCTCTGTCTTAATGCATGTCGCTCTGATTTATTTTTTATTGAGATTAACAATGGAACAATACCACTTCAAATATTAAAAAGGCAAAGAAATGTAGGTACTGAAAAGGAAGGAAAATACCTCAATTTCAAGCCTAAAGATTACTTTGGGTCCCAGAGGAAGCAGAAGCAATTTAGTGGCTGATACCCTTAGCAAGAAAAAAGGTTGTAAGATTAAGACCAACTGCTGTTTGGATAAGTGGTTGGTAATTGCACATATCAGCAATTATGTGCTGTCATATCATTTTTCTGCTACCTTACTCCTCTCTTGTGTCCCGTCAGGGTTTACTTGGAATGACCCTACATCTATGGTCCTCTTTGGATTCACCTTCTTAATGTCATACCACAGTGCYTCACAAGTTCAAAGAAAAAAGAAGTCATTATTGCAGGAGGTGCTTGGTGGAGGTGCTCCTCTCCACAGATGTAGCTAGAGGCTACTGCTGTAATAACCAGGCTTCCAGGGAGAGAGGGAAAGAAAGGCCTTCTGAACTTGCAAAAACCCTCTTTGTCCTCCAGCCTTGCAGTGGGAGAAGGGGGTGTGTGAGGGGAGAGTTTTATGGGGAGAGGTGTGAGTGGGGTGTGAGGGGGGTGTCTCTGTGCGTGGTTCAGGTGCCATCCCACCCCAGAGGACATGGCACTCGGCTCCAGGTGACACTGGGGGTCTCGGGGCAGCTGGGTGCTCTGAGTCTTGCCTGGTCAGGGCAATGCAGATTGTATTGGATCCGCTTCAAATGGAGAGGGGAACCTTCTGTTCCATACGTTTAGGCTGCTCATAACTCCTGCCCCATCTGGGGACGTTTTGGGGGGTAACAGAGGCCAGCCCCTGAGCTGAGCTCTGGGGATCACTTCTGTAGCTTGTCAGAGGCTTTGCATCGCTCACAAAGGCAAACACCATCAGAACCACCTTTTTCCTCACAGAAGGAAGTGATTCCCCAGTAAAGTGTCAAAAGATAACAAAGTCTGTTCCAGCTAAACTCATCTGTTCGTTGCCTGAGGGAAGCCTCCAGCTTATATGGCACGGTGTGCTCCCGCGGAGCAGAAGATGTTTAGCTCACTAATCACGGGCAGGAGGTGTCAGTGTGGCTGCCTGCAGAGTGCCCACGGTGTGTCTGGAGAGGACAGGCACTCRCTGCCATTCCAGGGTCCCAGTGACCTGCAGTGATGCCGCTGAGGTCAGTGGCTTTACAGGGATGTAGAGGAGAGCAGGATTTKACACAGGGACCCCACCACAAAAGCAGAGAGAGCCCACCAGGGTGGGAAGCCCTGGGAGGACCAGCAAACCCCAGTGYCAGGCTGTGGGAGATGCCAAACCGCAGCCAAACGCAGGAGTCTCGGCAGTGATAGCGAGGTGCTACCTCACAGCTCATGGAAGAGCTAATACCCTTTGAAAAGCAGATAAAAGATTCATCAGCACAGATGAAGATATGAGGGCTTGGGCTCAGACAGCCTGTAGCTCCTGCCAAGAAATTGTGTGGAAGGTAGAAACGAATTTAAAAGGTTGAGTGGGGGCCAGCAAGTCAATAACTGAATAATCCCACCCAGATAGGAAACCAAAGCATAAACAAGAGTCTCCACGTACTGACAAGTTAGCACTGGTTGCACTCTGGAAAGGATCCTAAAATAACAGAGATTCCTGTAGACAGAATAAACACATCTCTCAGTTGTCATCCTGAGCAGAGGGTAATTGCCTAGATGTCTGATTGACTCGCTGCTAGAGCTAAATATGTACTTCTCTGACATGCTGTCACCTCCTTCGCCGTGCGTCTGAGATTTTTCAGTAAAGCACATCAGGAATCAAAGCAAATGTCCACAAGAAAAGATGCATCTCGACCTTGAACTTTAATCACTGGCAAAGGGCTGAAAATGTATTTAAAAAGAAGTGAAGTTACTGCATTCCTGAGAGTGACATTTAATCTCAGAATTCCYTGGGGCTTGTGCACATAGGAGCCAACCCCCCAGCAGAGGAGCAGGAGCTGCAGCCCCTATCTGGGAGTTGGCACGTGGCTTCCTGAGCTCCCCAGGCACCCCAGCAGGGTCCTTGGCTCCTCATCTGATCCCCATTCCTTTGCTGTGGTTTCCTTCTGGGTTTCCTCCGGCTTGTCTCTTCCCGGTTTGCACTCCTGGAAGAGAGAGAGGAGCAGAGTTCCTAAGTTAATCCTCCTTCTGGTTTTAGCAGCTCTTTTACCCTGAGCAACAGTGTTTGATGCCTTCTCAAAACCACCACAAGGCTCTTGGTTAGTGATTYTTATCAAGTGCTGAGTCCTGTCTATTCTGCGCCTGCTTTGCTCCCTTCCCACCTCAGAGCCAGTCTCAGTTTCCATTGTGTTAAACTTTTATTTCCAGAAATGTAAGAGAACCTACTCACAAGYCCTAACATTGGAACATGAATATGAATATTCAAAAAGTCTTGGAAGCTGCAGGGGGCTGGACAACTGTCAACACAATGCTGATTTTCAGAAGTGAAGTGGTCTGGCCAAATCCTAGGCTGGCCCARCTCCTTGGAACAATGGTGTGCTGGTTTAGAATTCAATTCATAGATATGAAAATGCTATACTAAATGCAATGAARTGTGAATTCATGAAGGTAATTGTTTTTTGACCCAATATTATACTCTAACATGTAAGAGATTGGTATTTTACTCCATAGTCTGTGACAGCTTTGGTACTAAATTCAACCAAAATTAACCTGATATATCACTCGTGAAACAAAGATGTTTGAACAACAGGCCTTTAAGGGGAACTATAAAAGAAAATTATCATTAATTGAAGGTAATTCTGAAAGAGGCCTGGTTCTAAGCCCTTGGTCTTTCATACTTTGCCTTTGGAGAAAAAAATTAGATCCTTGTCAGAAGGCACAGACATTTGATGTGTGATTGGAGGGAACCCTGAGCAAATCCATCCACTGGGTGCCCATGGTAAGGGAGTTGGAGCCAGGTGATTTTTAAGGTCTCTTGCAACCAAAATCATTCTACAGTTAACAGCAAAAGGATAGCCATGCACGTGGGGTAATCTGCTACAGCCCCTGCTGCCAAACTCACCCAGGAGGGCAGCCCAGAGCAGGAGAGCTCTGAGAAACTCTGCAAAGGAGCCGTAGCACGGGGTAGGTGGGAGCAAAGTTCTCTTTCCTCCCCTCATAAAAGGGACACTGGAGGCACAGGTGGGCTCGGGTACACTGCATGGCAGTGTAAACCATGCACCTCAAATCCGAGYTGGTAGCCCAAGAACAAGACTACCTTCTCTATCTCTCTGCATTTGAGAATTCACCCTGGAGGGTCAGAGGGAGGTTATGAGGGTGGTTTACAAACCTGTCCCCTCCCCTCACCTCCAGCCTGTGCAGGAAAAAAGCATTTTCTGACAGAAACTGTGAGGGAGCCATCACTTTGCAAACATTGCAAATATATATACCAAGCAACTTGTCTAATATATGTTCAAGATAAAAGTTTGAGATGTCAGAAAATTTTATCTGGGAAAAACCAGGCATTCATGCACAAGAGGATAACTTCAAACCTATCTACCCATCTGTTAACACCAAGCTTTAGGTAGATAGAGAAATCAAGCAGAAGCTAAAGCAGGCGGACACATGTGAAAGGATTTCTGAAGGCAGAACAGGACATCCGTGTACTGCTAAACCGAGTTTTGAAGGGAAGAGTGGCAATTACCCAGCCCATCCTGCTCTCCTCACAGGCATGGCCCCAGGAGTGAGCTGTTGCACTCAGCTGGGACAGGCACACGTGCCCTGGGGTCTGGGATGGCAGGATGGTACATCCCTGTGCAGACAGCTCTTCTTCTACCCAGGACGATCTGCTCATGACTCTCTTTTCTTTTAATTTAGGAATAATAGTACAACAACCCAGGGAGAGCTGGCTTGGAATGTGTGCAGAACAGGCAGGAATAATCCAGCCCAAGCAGAAGACGAGGTGCTCAGCTGGTGCTCTCTTGATCTGATTTCATATCACTGATGATCGGAAAAGAGCTCAGCRATTTAAAACCAGTATAAATTAGTTCTAGCTTACAGCAAATTCACTTTTCCTCTAAAATGGTATTTGTCATTAAGAACCTTCTCTCACAAAGACTGCAAAGCCAGAAGACTTCCTCCATTCATTTACATATTAAAACTCAACAGACAACGAAGGAGAAGCAATAACTGGAGATAGCAATAGTAGTTCTCTTAGTTAAGTTTATTAATTTTACTTTTTCCCAGTGAAGTCTACGCTCAACAAAAACTGGATTATTTGTATCAAGCACACTAACTGAAAGTGATTTAACACAGTCAAAAATAATGAAAAAATGCAATGTGAAGGAAATGTGTGGCCCTTCAAAAGGCAAGGAGCTTCATCAGTTCAGCTGGGCTGTATCTGCCACTCTGTAAGAGAAGAGATTTGTGCACAGAGCCAAGCACTGAGCAGCACCTCCAGGCAGTGCCCAGGTGCAGAGTTCAGCTCTGTCTCAGCAGCAAAGTTGGCTGTTCCAGCTTCATCTTCATGGTTGCCAAGGGGATGAGGGGTATTCTTTTTCACCCAGACCTATCTGCACAAAAGATGGATCCTGAAGATGGTATTTTAAACTTTCATTTTCCCTTCAAGTGAAATTTGGATTTATGTTTTTCTCTCCCATATTGTTCCACATTAACTGTATTCAACTACAGGGAGTATCAGAAAATATTACCTTAGCTTGAGAATARGTTTGCTCTCCAGTGACACCTTCCAATACTACTGATTTATAGCCTTTTACCGCATTGATCTGTTGGGAGATTTCGTCAGCTATATCTGACATAAACACTGTATTATTCTGTATTGCATTATACCCTAGAAATCCACTCAAATCCCTCTGCTCCCCAAATTAAAGCAATATGCATTACAGTGTCCTGATTTCCTTCTATTCTTGCKTTTGCATTTTTGTATCATGCTCTAGATTACTCATGTATATTTTGGCATAGGCATCTCCCTGCTCATTTAAGAATATTGCCTTTAATCTTCATTATACCTTGAAGCACACAAAACGCTGGCCCCAAAGGACACGTGGAGACTTTTAGTTCCCACAGCGGCTGAATTTCTGTGGAAGTTATTTAAAGCAAAMGTGGTGTTGTTCAGAAGCCCAGGCCTCGTTCCAGGGTGATCCCATGGACACCCACAGTGTCCCTGTGGTCTCACTGCTCCCTGCAGCATGTGAGGGTTCTCTGYCACTCTACAGATCACCACAGCTTTGGGAAGGGCCTCCTCCTTCCACAGTGGTGCAGACTGTGGCTCTGCAGCCGAAAGGTTTTGGTTGTGTGGCTGTGCTGAGGWGCCTGAACTCCTCAGTGGTTAAACRATGGAGTTCACTTGCCTGCAAGCAGCTTTTTGGTGGCAGAAATAGAGTAGCAGCTGTAGGTTGTACTCATGCAGCAAAAGATTGGGTGTGCTCATTGCAGCATTTTTATTCACTTCAAGCACATTCTGACCATCATGCAGCTATTGTATAACAAAACAAGACAATACCCAATAATATATCACAGAATCTGGTAGGATTTTTTTGGTCTGCATTACTTCCCARMTTTGTTCTGTGGTAGGAATCCATGSAGGTCCAATGTTTGCCCCAATCAGATACTAATGGTTATACTGGAAATGTATTCAGTTAGACAGAACTCTGAATTCAGTAAAACCAGGTGACCTATATGAAAGGTCAGGATACTCCTTGAAAGAGGAACTTCCGACTTTTSTGAGAGGGTGCATAGGCATGTTGGYTCAGAATTGGTCTGTTTGATAGCCAGTTTAGATAACCAGACATACKCTTTATTTTAGATTTTCTTGGACTATTACTGCCCCCAGAATGTGGACTGHAGCAAAGCTAGTAGAAAAAGATGTCTGTAATTTGGGAACAARTAATTCTTTCCACAGGTGGAGGGAAGGTACAGATTTTACTGCAGGYAATGCTGAGACCACCATATTCAAARTGAYCCCCTATTGTTGTCTTCTCTTATTTTCAAACARCCACTGGAAGTTATCTAAGATTTGCCTTTAAGACCTGAGCAGAAGAGACTCTGCAGGCAAGGAAAATTCATGTGCAAGCCATGACCCATCTCAGCAAGCACTGGTTTACGGGTCTCCTGTCAGCAAAAAAAATGGAATATTGATCATTGTACTTGGCAAGGAGGAGCCTTTGTATAAGGCAAAGCAGAAGCTGAAGATAGCTTGACCAAAAACCCTGATACCTGAAGTCAAAGGGGAAATGTGTCTGCACCTTCCACATCAGCACAGGAAACTTCCTTCTCCACTTGTATTTGGGCAATGCCCTCCTGCAGAGCCACTGCTCCGTCCAGCATGCTTCAGTCACAGCTGGTGATGTGAAACTTTCCTTGCAGGACCATCATACATCATTCTGTGAGGACAGCATGTCCTGAAATCTCCCATAAAATGACCCTCGGTGGCCTGTTCCCATTCAAGAGCAAAAGATTACTTCYGAAAATTAATAAAATTATGTTTCCAACCCAAACAGAAGAGACCTACTTCTTCTGATGTCCATGGGGCAAGGATCAAAAAGAACAGACAGCTAGAATAGGGCAACAAAAACAGTTACATTGTGCCTACAAGAGCAAGTAAAATACCATTGCATATTTATTAAGATTTGTTCAAAAGTATGGAAAATTCCCTCCAGTAACATARTGGGTGATAATTCAATTTATTTGTTTTTAAGGCATGAAGACWAGCTTTAATTTCCCTCAACTGTGCCTCTATTATTATTAATCTACTTATCTTCTAAAAAGATCATCTAAACTACACTTCAATAGGGAATGTGATCTTTGGCCATGTAGGGCTTTGCAATTATCCAGTTCTGAATGAACTTGTTGTTAAAACATTTTTTAAGTCTAATGAAAACATTAGATCAATTCCTCGCAGTGATAGCTGTCATTAAATCAATAGTGTGTGTAAGTCCATTATGCTGATATTTGACATGAACYGCAGAAGGTCTGCTAACAATGAAACCATACTGAAGTGTGTCCTCTGCTAAGCATATTTTATATGAGATAAAAATCTGTTAAGTCTACAGTAACTGAAACTTTTCTTCTTTAACTAAAATAAACAGAGATGTGAAATGTTGCTGTAACTCACACTAAGACCACCATGATCACACGGGTTTTGGAGCTGGTCCTTTTATCACACCTTTATCACAGCTGTGCTCTCAGATCAGTCAAAAAAGCTT